TATTTTCAGTGCATATTTAATGTTCATAGCCCGTTGTTTTGTTTCAGCCCGTGCGCCGGGGCCGCGTAGCCACACGGTGCACTTTCTCTACCCATGCAACTCGGTGCACTGAGCGCACACACACACACACACACACACATACACATATATACACATACACACACACACACACATACACACACAGAGCGAATTCGCCCGTCCGTCAGACGGCGCTATGCTGCTCCGACCGGTGTGAGGTGCATTCGAAATGAATGCAGTGTACAACACGGCAGGCGCCAACACACGGCCGATATAATTACGACATTTTATTGGGGAAAAAAATATTAAAAAGAACTGATTTTTTTGTTAAATATTGGAGACACCCAGCCAATTGTTTGGTATGGCATAGATAGCCAAAAAAAAAAAAGAAACAAGACAAAAAAAAAAAGTTTGAAAAAATCCGTTTTAGCCGGGATTTGAACCCGCGGCGCGTGGGCTCGGAAGGTGTTGGCGGCGTGGGAACGAGCGGATTGACTCGGTAACCATGGCAACCGTGTCTCTAATTTACGGCGTGGTCGTAAATCCCCCTGGACTGCAGGACTGCAGGACACGGCGCGTCAATTGAATCACGCCGCCTCGCTGCGTCTCACTGCGTCTGACTCCGGCAGTCCCCTCCGGACCCTCCGGCAGCGGTGGCGAGTTACACGCGGAACGACGAGAAAACGAAAAAGACTGAATCAAAAGTTGTGTCGCGTTAGGTATCGCACCGCGCATCTGCCCAATGCATTTCCACAGTGGGCCAGAAGAGGGTAACGGTGGTCAAAGTCCCGCACGCGTTTCGAGTTCTTAAGTTACTATATGGGACTCGAACCGAACGTGTGACCCCACCAATGGGTTGCTCTCCGAACGAGGAATCCATTGGTGGGGTCACACGTTCGCTTCGAGTCCTGCATAGCGATCCTGCATAGCGACTCTGGAGCTCAAAACGCGTTTAGAGTTTTGGCCGCCGGCGCCGGTCTTCTAGCCCTCTGTGCAACTCTTTCAAGCCCGGCTCAGGAACCACAGTTTGCGAGTGCAAGCACCGGTCTTGCAAATCTGCCAAAATGTGGAATCGCGACGTGGCTTTCGAACTGCAATCTGGCCGCGGCGTTTCGAACCGCAATCTGAATGCCGCGCGGCGCTGCGCGGGGAGGGAATGCCAGGCATACCGCTGCACTTGTCGTCACCGCGTTGCCGCGTTGCCACATCGCGCGGTGTTCCTATCTCAACTCAAGCAACTTGGCAACGCGCGGCTACGCGGCTACGCTGTGTTATTCGCCCGGCCGGCAGCTACTCTGCGAAAACACCAACAAAAACAACAACAGCATGCGCTAGTTTGGATTTCCCTGGCTCACTTGTTTTGCAGAGTAGCTCCGCGAGGATGAGCCTCTTTACCGCTCCGACGCATGGCCGCCTAATTTGCATGAATGGTTTCGCAACGTGGGCAACGCGGTCAGCCTACCTCGTAGGCCACCAAAACTCTAGACGCGTTTTGAGTTCCAGAGCCGCTAAATGGGGCTCGAACCGAACGTGTGACCCCACCAATGGATTCCTCGTTCGTAGAGCAATCCATTGGTGGGGTCACACGTTCGGTTCGAGTCCCATTCAGCGACTCCGGAGCTCTGCACGCGTCCGGGATTTTGACCGCCTCCGCCGGTCTTCCGGCAAATCCACTGCGCGGCGTCGTCACACTGTCATTGCTGTCGCAGTGCGGAGGGGAGGGAGGGGAGGGCCCCTAGAGCCTCTGGCTGCCTCTAGCAGCCTCTGGGCCGGGCCCGGGGCCCTGCAGCTAGACCCGCGCGCCGCCCCGCCCCGCAGCACCGTTACCAAGGCGCTGAAAAGTTCAATGGTCGGCGCTGGTTTCTGCGCCAACGGCGCTAGGAGGGAGAGGGGGAGGGGGAAGGGGGGGAGATGGGCCATCCCGCCACTTGTTGTGCACAGGCTGCACCGCCTTCCTTCCATCCCTCGTTTCCGGCCGTTTCCGCCCCTGCCGGAGAAAAACGCGCCAAAAGACCGAGAGATTCACAGAGTGTCTCGGTTCAAATCCGATTTGAAATGTAACCTATCTGCAAGGACACAGCCACAAAAAAAATTAAATGAGGCAAAAGAATTTGTTTTATTTATGAACATTCCTTTGAATCTGTGTTCAATAATGACCTCGTCCCGTGAAGTAAATCAACACTGTCCAATAGTAATTTTTCCGAGTAGGCCACTTAACACTAAACGCATCTGAACTTTTTTTTTTTTTTTTACAAATTATTGGCGAAATGTACAGAAAACTGTGCGACGTACGCTACGGACAAGAATGCGTCTTTTTTTCTTTGCAGTGGCGGCGTTTCTAACCTAACCTCAGCGGCCATTGTTTCCGGAAATCGTCCGTTCGTGTAGCCGCTCCAGCCACGGCTCGGCCGATCGGTCCAGTCCGCCTCCGAGGCCTTCCAGGCCGTCCAGGCCGTCCAGGCCGGCGTGGAGGAGTAACCGGAGGTACCCGGAGATACTACACGCATACCTCAGTCACTCCGCGGTGGAGCCCACGGCTGCCCACGGCACCGTTAGGGAGTCAGGGGTTGCGGCAAATTGGCCACAAAACACACGTTTACTCTGTCAGGAGCCGCCGACCGAAAGGAGAACCAACCTGTGGTGAGCGTCAATCTTCGGACGGCAAAACTCCTTTTTATTTTGGTGGGGAAGTGAATTAAAAACCACAGTCACACTGTGCGCAAGGTTGGCACCGCTAACCGAAGTTCGAGTTTGGGTAAGTTGGCACCGCGTGTGTGTCTCCGCCGTCCCCGCCCGAGCTGCAGTTAACTAGGGTCGTAAACTGCGGCAGTCGCGGGCCGCGTCACGCACGGAGGTGGCAATGGAAAAGTGGAATGGTAATTAAAGCGCGAGCAGCCTAGAACACCCATTCAGCACGAGTGCATCTGCAGGACTTCTTGAAAACGTTGGCAGACGGACGGACGGATAGACAGACGGACAGACAGACAGACAGATGGAACGCTAGCCGCAGTGATGCCGGCAGTGCGGCGGTACGCGGCGGCAGCCTGAAAGGATTCTCGAATGAATCGCAGGACACGGCTTAGTTTCGACGGTGCCCGTTAGAGGCGCTGTGTTCCTCTCCGCGCCGCCGCCTTCTATCGGCCTCAATTTCATGTCGTGGCGGCCCTAGCGGTCGCGGGGTGAACAGTCGAAACCCGCCCGTCAAAATGGTCAACGCGATCTTGGCTTGCGCAACGCCGGCCTCTTCATGGTTGGCAACACTGCTTTCGCGCGGTGAATCCATTTGGGTTGGCAGCCATGCTGGACCCGCGACGCGCCGCAACGGCCCGCTGCTCGTCTTCCTTCTTGCTTTTCCGCCTCGCCACGTATTTTGAGACGCGCATTAATCGCTCTCCTTGTGAGTCCGAGCACAGTGGGCCAGAAGACCGGTGGAGGCGGCCAAAACTCCAGTCGCGTTTTGAGCTCCAGAGTCGCTGAATGGGACTCGAACCGAACGTGTGACCCCACCAATGGATTCCTCGTTCGGAGAGCAATCCATTGGTGGGGTCACACGTTGGGTTCGAGTCCCGTTTAGCGAGGGAGGGCCACGTCACGTGGTTGTAGTGCCTCAATGACCGCGTGAACGGCTGGCAGGCAATGGCTCGGAAAATGGGGGGCCGTGCGCATGACCGTTCCAAGGTCACGCCGGCACTGCCCTAACTGTGTTGTTTTGTGTGTGTGCGTGCGTGTGTGTGTGTCTGTGAGAGCGCTTCCGTTGGCACGCCAGCTGTCCAGAGAGTAGCACGCGCCAGGTATGCTTCTCTCTCTCGGGCCGTACGAGCCATCATAATGCCAAGGTCAGCTTGACGCGAACGCGCTGTGTCTGGCACGCGACAGCGCCGACGGCGTGGCCACATTGGCGGAGAGACACATGGCGGGAATTTCACGGTGTGGGCACCGAGACCTAACCTATCCCCTGGGGATGTTGTTGAGCGTTCTGCAGGGAAAAAATGGTCCTAATCACACTCCCATCGGGTCGTTTCATCCCGTGCATCCAGCTTTCCAGCATCAGGCCCTCCGAAATGGGTAATTTGGGCGAATTGGCTGTCTCTCTCTCGCACGCTGCCCACGGTGCCGTGCCATCGTGTATGAGCCACCGCAAGCTATTACGGAGCTTTTGCGCACGACGTTAATGTAACCTCAGAGGACAAGCTTGGCGCGTCCTAGCCGGCCAGACAGACAGCCGGACAGACAGACAGACAGCCGGACAGACAGACAGACAGACAGACAGACAGACAGACAGACGGCCGGACAGATAGACGGACAGACAGACAGACAGACAGACAGACAGACAGACAGACAGACAGACGGACAGACAGACAGACAGACAGACAGACAGACGGCCGGACCCGCCCAGCCGTGTCGGCTCGCAGCTAGAACCCGGACTTCTAGACCGGAGACTGAGCCGGCTAGAGTTCTAATAGTCCTGCCGTGCTTCCAGTAACCGACCGGAGCTTTCAGGAAGGTGCCATCTTCGCCCCCAGCTCTGCATTGTTTCTGTTGGCGACGTTTGGACTCGAAAGTGGCAATAATAATAGTCCCCGAAACACAGTCTCCTCGCGATTCGAGTGGAGAGCTTTTCCCTCTGAAACGTGCGGCGGTTGGTTACGCTCAGAGGTGGTCTGCACGATACATTATCAATTGACCTCCCAGTTTCCGAATCGACAGAGAGGGAGGGAGAGAGCGAGAGGGGGAGGGAGAGAGAGAGAGAGAGAGAGAGAGAGAGAGAGAGAGAGAGAGAGAGAGAGAGAGAGAGAGAGAGAAGAGGAAGAAGAGCTAGAGAGAAGGAGACGGTGCTCGATCATCAGGTGGTGAAGGTGGCAAATTTGACGCCAAGTTTGAGCTTCATGGCGGCATCCACTCGAGTATCCACCGCCACGAAACTCCTGAAACTTCGCTATCCCCCTCCGCAGAACGGGGCGAAGCGAACCGAAACCACTTACCACTGTGGGTGCAGGCGTGCTAATCCATCCAACACTGTAATCCTAATCGGGGAGGTTTTTGTCACTGCACACAACACTCGCACTGCACACACTGGCGCGCGCGGGAACGGACACACACACACAGACACAGTACGACGTTCACGCGGTTCGATGCGGGCGGTGCGGCGCGCACGGAGCGACCTGCTCGCGAGGGGGCCGGGACAGCACTGAGGCCCCGCCGGCCCCGCCGCAACGCCCCGCGCCGCGCTCCCCCCCCCCCCCCCCCCCCCGTTCCGCTGCGCAGCCGCGGTTCTCTATCTCCCACCTTCGTCCTTGTCTCGCCTCTCCCCTTTCATTTCGCGGACCGACTCCAGCGGACTCCAGCAGCAGACTAACTCCAACAGACTCCCAGGGAGGCTGCTCAGCGCTCCCGACTCCAGGAGCAGGACTAAATAACTCCAACAGACTCCCGGAGTGGTCCCGCGTAACCAAGATAGGCTGACTGACTCAGCAGACTAACTCCAACAAACTCCAGGGGACTTGAGGCAGCCTCAGCAGTCCGCCGCTCAAATTTCTCTCCGATTGAATACATTAAAATTCGGAGAGTAGCCACGTTTTGCTGGGCAAGACTTCGGCGCCAGGGGGTTCGTTTCCTCCCCAGGCAGTGTGCCAGCCTCTCGATGATTTATGGCTTTGATTCGCGAACCGATCCCAGCGCCTTTTCGAAACGTAATTAAGGACCTGGCTCTTTGTTTTTGCAACGTCCGGCTTATCGCAAGTCCTATCACGCCCAGTGGGCCACTCTGTCACTTTCCTCGGAGGAGAGCCCCACCTCACCTAAACTAACACGCACAGTGGGCCAGAAGGCCGGTGGAGGCGGTCAAAACCCCGGACGCGTTTTTAGCGCCTGAGTTGCTAAATGGGACTCGAACAGAACGTGTGACCCCACCATTGGATTCCTCGTTCGGAGCGCAATCTGTTGGTGGGGTCACACGTTCGGTTTGAGTCCTGTTTAGCGAATCTAGAGCTCTAGTTCGCTGGGCCCAGTGGTCCAGGTCCACCCTTGCGCTTAAGTCTCCGCGTTCTTATGCCCGCCGCCGCTTGGTGGGAAGTAAGCCATGTTGTTTCAAAAAATAAAAATAAATTAAGCTACTTTTATTTTCAAACATTTAAAAACATCAGGTGCTTGAATTGTGAGAAAACGGGGTTTTGAACCCATGGGACTGGCATGCGAGGGAGTTTGACCGGCGTCCAAGTGCGCTCGGCCACGGTCACCACGAGACATGGCGTGACGCGACGCCATTCGAGTCCCGCCACTTTTACTCCATTTTTCCGTCCTCGTCGTGGACATCTTCTTTCTCTCGCGCGAAATCTCCTCCCTGGAAGAATAGCCTACTTTATTCCTGTTTCAAGGACGGCCCGGCCGGGCACTTAGGCCGGCATCGGATTGGCTTGACTCTTCCTTCGAGAAAGCGCTGCCACATTGTGTGAGCGAGAGAGAGAGAGAAGATGCACTCACGCCGCGATCAGCCGCGCTGGCCGCGCTAGCCGCCGGGCAGGCCGCACCACACGGGGTACCAACTTAACAGTTTTACAACGGTTTTGCCCAGTTTAGAATAATTCCCACGATGCACCAGTGTAGCGAGGGCGGCGAGGGCGGCCAACCTCAGTAATATCTGTGCTGGTCTAGTTGGCAGCCGGAGGTTGAGGTTGCCAACCTGTTCAACACTAGTTTAGGGGGGGGGGATTTTTTGGCAATACTTGGCAACACTGATTTTACCAATGCCTCACACGTGCGTCAAAAATGAAAAAAATATGAAAAAACAATCGTAGCGATGAATACAGAGAATTCAAATGCTCATGTATAAAATAAATTATTTTTGAAGAAAGTAATTCTGTGTGATTGTTTGCTTTCGTCCCGCGGGCAGAGAGAATGAGTGAGTCTCCGGCAACGGCCGCCAGGGCGCGCTGCGTTGCGCCACTGGGCGCAGGGCTGTGCCGCGAAGTGCCGCGCAGTGCCGCTGTTTGGAGAGTGTCCATTTGGCGCCATTTGGCCATCCTAGAAATCCCGTGATTTATGTCACCGAGGGAATCGGGCGGGGCTCCTCTCCCTCGGCTCGGCGCTGCCGGCTCGGCGGGGAGAGTAAAAGTGACGCAGCCGGGCTTTAAAGACTGAGTACTGAGTACCAGAAAGTGCCGGCCGGTGCCGGCTACTCGACTCGGCCGCGCCGCACAGTGGGCCGGAAGACCGGTGGAGGCGCGTTTTGAGCTCCAGAGTCGCTAAACAGGGCTCGAACCGAGCGTGTGACCCCACCAATGGATTGCTCTCCGAACGAGGAATCCATTGGTGGGGTCACACGTTCGGTTCGAGTCCTGTTTAGCGACTCTGGAGCTCAAAACGCGTCTCGAGTTGACCGCCTCCACCGGTCTTCTGGCTTTTCCTTTCCTTGCGGGGGCGTAGCGCGCGGCGGCGTGGCTGCGGTGGCTGCGGCCGACGGGGTGGACGCCGCGGACGGTGGGTGCGGCTGCCTTCGTCCGGTCTGGTTTGGGCCGCGCGCCCGCGCGTGCAAACACACACACACAGGCCCGTCTATATTTTCTGAAGTGAAACTTGCTAGCCTGGCTGGGCCTCTTGGACACACAGACCACCGACGAGGACGAGGCGGGGCTGGCGGCGAGCAGCGAAGGATGCCGCTGCTTGCCGTTCACTTTTAGGTTTGCAGATCCCAGCGCGCGCACACACACACACCACACACACACACGCACACGCACTCGCACGCTTTCAAGGCGGGCCCCTCATCGATACGGGAAAGCACCGCCCTGCGGGCACGCGCGCGCGCACACACACACACACACACACACACAGACACGCATGTCGCTCGTGTCCAAACTGCGCTTTCCTAGAAAGACGCCTTCAGAGTGCTCTTGCATCTCTCCCTTGGTGCCCGAGGGCGAGTCGTCTTGCACTGTCGAAGCAAACCAGGGAAGAGAGAAGGAAAAAGCGCAAACAGAGCCTTTCCCTCTCTTTCGTGCAAAACCGAACGAGTGACCCCACCAATGGATTCCTCGTTCGGAGAGCAATACATTGGTGGGGTCACACGTTCGGTTCGAGTCCCATTCAGCGACTCTGGAGCTCAAAACGCGCCTAGAATTTTGACCGCCTCCACCGGTCTTCTAAACCACTGCGCGCCGCCCTGGCCGGCCCTGGGCCCTGGTCTTCCCATGTTCCCAGGGCTCGGCCGCGTTGGCCGCCGAGGCTCGCAGGCACTGTTACGCGAGTGAAAAGCTCCAACCGGATCCCAAAGGGTTCGCCGACCCGCGAGGCCCGCGAGCGGCTTGTCGTCGCGCGGCGGGGCGGGGCGGGGCGGGGCGGGGCGGGGCGGGGCAAGGCCGGCGTAGATTAGCAACCCTTGACACGCTTGCTCGCGGAATGCCAGGCCATGCCAGGCAGGCGGCGCCACCAGAAGGCCGCCAACGCGATTCGGATTGTGGTAGTCGAGCGCGCAAGACGACTGTCATCCAACCTGAGAGTTCCAGGTTCAATCCCAGCCAACTACCTTACTTTTCTTTCTTTTTTTTTTGCACGTTGTTTTGAAGCTGCTATTTTTGCCTGCTCACCGCCAAGCTTCAGGCTGGACGCTCACACGGCACACACACAACACACACACACACACACACACACACACACACACACACACACAGAGTCGTCGTCCGAGAAAGTAGTCGGAGTGTATTGACTGTAATTATTGCTATCGCGCAAAACGCATTACGGGGGCGACTGGGCGACACTGCTTTGCATAGCGTCTTATGTCACGCGCGTGCATGGGCCCTCGTCCAGGGCTGCAGTGTGGTGTCTTTCCTGCGCTCCTATTTAGGAACCAGACAATGGTCCGGGCAGCCAACACCGTCGTTAGAAAAGTAAGCACAACCGACACCGCCGTTACAAAAAAAAGTAAAAAAAATATATTTTGGTGAAAAAAAAATTGAAGTTGGACAGGGTTGAACCTGCGATGCTTGGATTGGAATGCAGTGCTCTTACGCGCTCGGCCACCGCGGCGGCTCGCGCGGCACTCAAGGAATCACTAGGCGAGGTTGGCACCGATTTCGGGGGCAGTTCGTGTTCCGCCTCGGTGTCGCCGACGCGGGCCGTCGCTACTCCCCGTCACTTGGAACGCACGCACGGCACTGCCTCCCTCTCGCACTTCTGCGGGACGCGCCATGAGTGGGAGAGAGACAGAGCAAGTCCGCTGTACAGTGGGCCAGAAGACCAGTGGAGGCGGTCAAAATCCCGGACGCGTTTTGAGCTCCAGAGTCGCTAAATGGGACTCGACCCGAACGTATGACCCCACCAATGGATTCCTCGTTCGGAGAGCAATCCATTGGTGGGGTCACACGTTCGGTTCGAGCCCCATTTAGCGACTCTGGAGCTCAAAACGCGTCTAGAGTTGTTGCCGCCTCCGCCGGTCTTCTGGCCCACTGTGCGCCGGTTTGGCTGGCGCCACGCTGCGCTGCGCGTCACCACAGTGTTAGGCCCTGGCCCCGGGCGCCACCGTAACATGCAAATAAGGAACAGGTGTGCGTGCTACGCGGTGCTGCGTGAGAGGTCGCTGCGCGCGCTGCGCATGAGTAGAGTAGCAGCCGAACTGCAGCATCATCGCTCTGGTCTTCCGGGTGCCCGGCGGTGCCCGGCTGCTGCTGCCGGTTGTCATACCGCATTCCTGCCCAACTCGAATACTTAAACGCCTTAGGTAACGCCAAATGGGTTTCGGGTCGGCAAGGCGCGGCCACGGCAGCACTCAGGTGACTCGCATGGCTGCCTGGATGGCCAGCATGGCGAAACGCAGTGGGCCAGAAGACCGATGGAGGCGGCCGAAATCCCGGACGCGTTTTGAGCTCCAGAGTCGCTCCATCCATTGGTGGGGTCACACGTTCAGTTCGAGTTGTATTTAGCGATTCTGGAGCTAAAAACCCGTCACCTCCACAAGTCTTCTGGCCCTCTGTGTACCGTCTTGATGGTGTTTAATTTTTGGAAAATAAAATAAAAAGTAACAATTGGGAATCAGTGAATATTCCTTTCGAAGTTGATTGCAGCCGCTAGCCAATCCGAACGGAAACCAGATCCGCGACTCGAAGCCACTCCCTCGGCGCGTTCCAGGCAGTCATTCACGAGGCGTCGAGGCCGAATAACATTTGACGGCACTCTTAGCGCACACCC